TTTTTTTTTTTTTTTTTGATGAATTTAAATCCCTTTTTGGGGAAATAACAGTTTTGATTTGATTTTTTTCATTTCAGATGAGAGAAAAGAAGTCATTAAAACTGAATATTCCACAGCAGCAGCAGCAGCATCAGAACGGTCACTTATCCCCATTTAAATTGTCTAAATTATTAGATCCTGATGCTTCCTGGGATAAGGTTTCGGTTCATGTTGTTATTTTTCATTTTAGTTTTTTTTAGAGCTGATTCTTCTATGTGTTTTATAGCATTCAATTCAAACAGAAAAGACAATTTTTCTGCCAATGCTAGGTTATTTATCAGTTCTGATGCTATATAATACACATAGTGAAGTATTTGGTAGTATACATAAACTTTAATCTTGGATTTTGTTAGAGTGAGAGGCTATATTAGGAGTGGAGTGGAGTGGTGGCTAATTGCGTAATTGCTTTACCGACCTTTTTATTCAGGCGCAGTCCGTTTGTTTGTATAGTAAATTCTTGTTATCTAGTATTTTGTAATGGTTGTGTTTAGATGAGGCTCTACATTCAAGTTATGAAGTCCTCCACACTGATGAGCATAGTAGAGACAAAATGAGCAGATTATGATTTTTCTTTTTCCATTCTATAGTTAATACTTGAAGTGACCAATAGACTGTAATGGTATCAAGAAGCAAGATGTTAACTGGAGCCATTGCGTGGCTACGGCGATTTAACTGGAGGCCGTTTCTGAGGGGCTGGAGCTGTTTCCTCGAGGACTAGTCAGGCGCAAGTCTGGAACCTCGGTATCAAAAAAATAAAAAAATAAAAGAAGCAAGATGTTAAATTTTGTACAGGATTTTAGCTACTGTATCAGGAAGTGTAGGACTCATTTCAGTGATTGAAAGTAAGAGGAAATACAAATTTATTTGGAAAAAAAGACAAGTTGGTTCTAGAGTGTTGAGAAACATGATTTAGAGTTACTTGGAGGGAGCAATGAAATATCATTACAAGAAAATTAGCTTCTGGTTGTACGCAAGTAATGATATTATATAGTGCAAGGTTGTGGAGTTCAGGGAGCCTGTGTAAAAATTAAGTGTAAGGGAGCTGGCTGGGGGCCTTCCTGTGGGGAATGTTATGTTTTTTTATTGCCTAATCCACGGTTTTCTTAAATCTGTTATACACTAGAATTCCATCAGACTTATCCCTGTTGGGTTTTTATATCTTCTCTAATCTCCTAATACACACCATCTATACAAGTACATGCTTTCTTCTGAGGAGAAAGATGGTAAGAATACCAGGATTCCTGTTTACGATATATAGGATTGTGGTAGGAATCTGATAGAGTAAAGAGCATAAAATAATAAATAAATTATTAGTTAGAATCTACTAAATAATAATCTGAAATGAGTCGGCAAGAGCCCCAGGAAAAGTGGGCACTATTTGTCTACCAAGAGAGAAAGGTTGAGTACGAAAGATAATTTTTTTTACCTGCTTAAGTGATCTTCCCACCCACGTTATTTTTATAATTATATTCCTAATTCTATGTCCTTAATTTTGCCATTAATATTCTAATATCTGCCCAACCTATTAGTTCGCAGATACGGTTAAATCTTGTCAATTAATTATTTCCTAATATATGGTAAGATCATGTCAATCAACTGTTGCCCCGATTATTAGCTACATGTTACTTGGCTGCTAGTTAGTAATTATATTCCTTGTAATACTTATATCAAGCTACCACAGTTGACCTGATGGTTGACAGGCTTACAGCCCTGGAAACATATGATCCTTTCATAATCATGATTCGTTAATATTCACAGGCAGTTTGAGCACTGATCTTCTTGTATATCTTACGTCAAAGTTTTGTATGTTGAAAAACCTTACTATTGGTAGTTTCCTTATATAGTATGAGATATATTCAATTGGAAATGACTCACTACATTTGTTCAATTTGTTGCAGGATCAACTCGGTGATGTACTTCATTGGATTAGGCAAGCATTGGCCCTTGTGTGTGGATTACTATGGGGTGCAATTCCTTTAGTTGGGGGCGTCTGGTTTATTTTGTAAGTAAATACTTCCTTGAATATTATTTTTATTTGAAGTTACTGTTTCTAGTTAATTTTTACATGTTACATGCCTTGTCGAAGCTGCTTACTGTGATGCTGGCCCATAAATAAGGTCATTTGGGGGCCTGGGGCTTCTCGACATCATCATTGACTAAATATGTAACTCATCTAAGATATTAAGTGTAAACATTGTTATTTGGCAATTTGATCAGAACCTATGGTTTAACCGAACTTTACTTTATAACTTCTAATTGTGCTTTTGGTGAGTAGAACATTGCCATTATTTTTCGTAACATTTAAAGTATGAATTGAAGAAACGTGTCATTTCATTTGATTATTCAGTAAAATGTTTCTGTCAAAAAAAATATATGGTACCATCTTGAGATTCTTCAAAACTTGGTTGGCATTTATTTGTTTTGTGAATGAACTTAATAAGTTCTCACGTCTTTCAACGAAAAACGAATAATCAATAGATCTCATAAGTTTATTTGAAATAAAATAATTTGTAACTTATATTAGGAGATTATAACATAAGCACTTAATATTATTTGTATTGATATATGTTGCGAGATGCTTGTGTTGTAAAAGCAGTCATTCTTGGTACTGGCTTTGGTGTTCAGGTTTGTGGTTTTCTCTTCTGCCATTATCTATGGGTACTATGCTCTTGTGCTGAAAATCGATGAAGAAGAGTTTGGAGGTCACGGAGCCCTTCTTCAAGAAGGATTATTTGCCTCAGTATGTCTGTTTCTGGTATGTTGTGTATATGCTCTTTCACCTATCTCCGTTATATTTTTTATATTTTCTGTATAGTAATCATTGGTTTTTGTTCAGCTTGCATGGATTCTTGTATACAGTTTGGCACACTTCTGATTAGCTCATATAGATACTTGGATCCTTGCGCTCCTCCTCTCTCCCGCTCTTGGGAGGTCGAAATCTTTGTGCCTCTAATCTTCAGTCAGCATTATTACTTTTACCAAAGCCAAAGGATACATTTATCTTACATGATCCTTCATCGGTTACAAATATGGGAATACCTCTTTAGGTGTATTTTTCGTGTTTGTTGGATATTTATTTTGTTTTTGTTCAATTTATATATTTTTTATGTACAATTGTTTTACCAGTTTCTGCAAGGCGCTTCATGGGATTTCTCGTTTCCTTCTCACTACACTGTAATTTTATTTTATTTCTTCATTCAATCCTGTTGGATCACACTCAACATTCAAGTTTAACTGGAGAAATTAGAGAGAGATTACAAATACGAAACCAAATTATACGTCGAGCATAGATTTTTTTTCTATGCGAGTATGTTACTAAAGGTACGTGTGCTTAAACTCAAAAGCAAATGAACCCCTGTGCTAATTTAGAATGTGTAGGTTAACTATATAATTACATGGTTAGGCTGTGGCCATAGGTTCTATAGTTTAGAATGTGTCCATTAACTATGTAATTACATGGTTTGGCTATTACATAGCTTCTAAATGTGATGGGTTGATTTACATAGCTTCTAAATGTGATGTGTTGGCGGTGAAAAGACTTCAAACTCAATGATATGTTAACCATCCATGTTCTTCCCTAATTTCGATCGCGAATTGGTGGAAAGCTTTGATCATTTTTTTTTTCCCCAAAACGATAGATGTACTATAAAAAGGCATAAACGTGCAAAATTACAAACTAGAAGACCCCAACATGGTAATAAGAAAAGACCCCAACAGGGTAATAAGAAAAGACCCCAATGCATAGCGAAAAGCATTGGCATGAGAAAAACTCAAAAACATACAAATTGGGGTGCCATGGTATACAAAAGAATAAATTATATCTACTACCACTTATGTTTTTTTTTTTGTTTTTTTTTTGTTTTTTTTTTTTAAATTGCCGACATTTTAAAAATATTGCACATATATATATGAAAGATACACTTTTATTGTACAATTATTGACTATTGTCTTTTTTCAAGCATATATTTAGTTTATTTGTAATTTATAACATATTTATACTATCAGATCTCGTTATATGAACTAAAAAGGGTTGTTCATATATAGAGATGTTAAATAGTTCTTGGCCCGACGGGCTGGCCCGTTTAGCCCGAAAAAAAAGGGTTAGAGCTTTTTATTGGTAGCTCATTTAAATCTGGGCTTTTTAGGCTCAGACCGTTTAAACCGAAGCCCGTTAGGGCTAGCCCGAAACCCGCTAGAGCTGGCCCGTTTAACTTGAGTTGGGCGTTGTAAATATTTGCAGTAAGGAAGTAATATACTCTTAGATTTATTGTATATTACAATTTTGCTATTCCACTTCACATATAAGTATGAGTTGTAACGGATTATATTGATTTTGAAAGATAATTATTAACAATATTCTTATTTTACTCCACACCAAAATATTTAACTCAATCAGAACGACTAATAGGAAACAAATGAGGCAGACCTAACACATGAAACATAGTGATAGAATTTATAGTGATATAATATCGTAAAAATTTCCAAAACGTACAAAATAAGTAGTGAAATGGTAATTGTAAGTAATAATTCGAATATCTTTATCTTTTGAAAAAAAAAAATGTTATTTAAAAGTTTGTAGTATGTGTTCATATATGATGTGTAGTTGTATATATAGAGCGGCAAATACTAAATACCGTTGAAAACAATCGTTAATTAGTCGTTGTAATTTTTTATAATTTTTTTCTTTTTGTTTTTGATATTTTTTGATACATTTTTATTATTAATATTATTATTACTATTATTAATATCATTATTAAAGCCCGCTTAGCCCGTTTAGCCCGAAGCCCGCTAGGGTTAGGGTTAGGTCCTTTTATTGGTAGCCCGTTTAAATTCGGGCTTTTTAGGCCTGGACCGTTTAGCCCGAAGCCCGCTAGGGCTAGCCCGTAACCGCTAGGGCTAGCCCGTTTAACATCTCTATTCATATATCAAACATACACTAATCATAATCGTTAAATAAATATTGAAATCTAAAATTCACATAAAATATGCTCCCTCAACTTCTCAAATAAACTTCAAATTCACCCCAAATTCAAGATTGTCCGAACGAACGCTAGAAATCACGCGACGACAACTTTCCCCCGATCGTGCAGCCCATCAACCACGAAAACCTCCAGATTCCAACAGAAAAATACCCGAGTTCTCGAAAAATCCCTCAAATCACCGCAGATTGCCTGTAGCTATCGTTTCCATATTCAAATTCACACTCAAATTATGATTCGAGCTCCTCTTCGTCGACATTCTCGCTGTCATATTCAAGCGCATCCTCACCTTCACCTTAGCCGGATTTCTCATATCTCGCGCAGACAACGACGGTTGTTTCACCCAGACGGTGGCTCAATTCGTGGTCGGAGATGCTACGTGCCAAGGTGAACAACATCTTATGGATAATCTTGACCAACTTGCTTAGTTCCTTGCGAGGGACGCTGTTGGCTTTTCGCATCGCCAATAATTTGGACCAACAACAGCGTCCAGATAAATGGACCAATCCCCCCTATATATTAATCCAAAACGCGGTGAGCCTACGTGGCTGCTTCTGGTGCTTCGGAATCCTATGTGGCAAAATTACATGCTTCGTTATTAGACTTGGATAAATTTTAATTTAATTCCAACAAAAAAATAATTAGGTTCGGATTACCATAAATATGTTGATTATTTATGGTCATGTTACATGTATTAATTGTATTTTAATATCATTCCTTATTATAACTATTGAATTGTATATATATTTAAAAGTTAATAACTTTTGTATCTTTTATCAGTTTTACATATGTAATATATCAAATTAATATTCTTTTGATGATCTTCGATTTAACATCCATATTGTATGTATTAAAAAAATAATTTATATTTATCTTTATAACAATAATAAAATTATTTTTAATATTAATTAGAAAAATAAAATTATTTATCAACTAATATATTTATATTTCAAGTAGTTATATGATATAAGTTATAAAAACAAATATAACATAACACATGTAAGTCATAAGTAACACATATCATTCTAAAATATATAGTAATATATTTTTTATTTGTAAGAAAGTAAACTAAATTTAATATAGTTTTCTCATTAATTTTAAAATTTAAAAATAATTTTTTAACAAGCACCCGTGTAATACACGGGTGTTGTACTAGTTTGCTAGTATTTATCTAAATATTAATGTTAGGTTAGGTAGATGTGCAAATATGATTTCATTTAGCATTTTTGTATTTTTTTTAGCAATTAGTTCAATATTTATGTAAATTGGCATATACAAAAATATTAAGCAAATATATCGGTTTGTTTGATATGCTAATATTTGTATAAAATGTGATGATTTTTAAATTCTTGAGTTCACTTATAACATTTTTTTCCCTTAAACTACTTTATATTAATAGAAACAAGTATTTACAACCTTAAACTACTTTATATTAATAGAAACAAGTATTTACAAACTAGAAAAAAAAACAAAATACAACTGAATCAATCAAATTAGTAGTTGAATCTAAAAGGAGGTTTACTCAAAGTAGCCTAAAGCCGAAAACACAAGCTAAAAAAA